GGGGGGGGGGGGGGGGGGGGGGGGGGGAGGGAGGAGACTGTGGGGGCAGTTCAAAACAGCATGTGTGTTCTATGTTATGACACGTGCGTATCTTTTGCAATCAGGTCAGGTGATGTGTCAGGCTGATGTGTGGACTCTACGACCTCCTCACAGGCAAAAAAAAAAAAAAAACAAGCCAAGCGTGTGAGGTGCCAGACCATATGTTCGCCCATCTGGTGGTCCAGAAAGGCTGCAAGGCTGTGTATGAGTAATACTCTCTCTCTCTCTCTCTCTCTCTCTCTCCCCCCACACACACACACACACTTACTACACTCATCCTCTGTTTCTGGCCGCTCTATTAATCCTCGTAACGTATGGGTTGAAGAGGGTCAATATGTCTGAGTGGGACTTCACCCCCGGGATTTGAGAGTTGTGAAGCTCGCAGGGGCTGGGAATTTGGCATATCCCTTTTTTTTTTTTTTTTTTTGGAAACTTCGTTATTCCGGAAACCTACTTAACGAGGTGATAAGAGCACCCCCGGTAAGTAGGCCCCGGCGTCGAAGGCTCCATCTATTGGTGGGGAGCTACACCTGCTGGAAATCGGGTCCAGCGTCCCTGTACATTTATGAGAATGTGTCTGCTAACCTGGGTGATTGGATGCCTAAAGCAACCCACCTAGTTGGGGAACTGCATACTAGTACTGCAATCGTATCGTGTGGCTAAACAGTACCCCCCTTACAAGGCTACAGAGAGACTGAAAAAAGAAGTACACCGATGTAAACATCCCTGAGCACAATAGTACACCCCTCTGCCTGATACCAGAACGTTAGGAGCTCTCCTCTCTTCAAAAAAAAAAGGATGAAAAAAAAGAATGGTAAGAGATGGACTGACATGGTGGGATCCTAACACGCAGGAAGGATGGTAGCAGACTTGCGCATGGGCACCGGCAGGGCGTTAGATTGATGCACGGCTGGACACACATCCCCTTGGGCTGATGCATGGTACTATTACAGACACTGCCTGCGCACCACCCAAGGGTAGTCCACGGTGTTGTATGCTGGTTGTGGGTTTCACAGGGTTTGCTTGGGGTGTTGGTCTCGGGTGTTCTGATGTTCTCCCCAGTCTGGCATATCACACGATCATTCCGTTTCCGGTAGTTGCTCATACGGTAGAGTCTTGGATTACATGTTACGAGGTCACGGGTTCAAGCTTGGTTCGGTCCTTGGGGGGGTTCCTTGTCCAGCTGGCCCCGTTCTCTCCTCGATACATGATTCACAGAGTACACATAGCTTTTGGGCATACACACATGGCTCGTGAATTATATATCGCTTACAGGTTACATACACAAGTTTCCACAGATGATACTGTCTACACAAATTCACAGAATATACACACAAAAAAAGAGGCTGGGGAGCTAGTGCAGTAGGTTCAGGTAGGTTGGATAGGGTGCCATTGGGTGCAGTTCCTACTGACATTCGGATAGAACTGTCTGGTGGCTATATATATATGGGGC